TGAAATAAAACGTTAAAAAAAAAAATAGAGTATAGGAGGAGTACCTGGCTGACTTTTCAGTCAGTGGAGCATATGACTCTTGATCTTGGGGTTATGAGTTTGAACCCCATGCTGGGTATAGAGATTACTTAAAAATACAATCTTTTTTAAAAATAGAGTATAGGAAAATAGGCAATATCTTATGTTGCTGGTGGGAATGTAGATTGATACAACCTACTGAAGTACAATTTTGTAGGATTTCTCAAAATTACAAACACATCTACCTTTAAACCCAGAAAAAGTCCTTTTCTAAGAATTTATCCTACAGATATATTTAACCATGTGTAAAATGATATATAGCGAAGGTACTGACTTCAGCTTTGACATATCAAAAGACTAGAAACAATCTATATGGCCACTATGATGTGACTAGTTAAATAAATTATCATATATCCATTCAACAAAATATTATAGTCATAAATATTGAGAACGCTCTTTTACTAACAATGTGGAATTATTTCAAGTATAAAAACAAACATGTGAAGAGTATGCTACCATCCATATAAAAAGAAAGGTAATATCCACATATGTATTTGCTTGTGTATGCATAAAATACTTTACGAAAGAACTACATATACAATTCAGATAGCACTGTTTGCCTTCACAATGGGGAGCCGATGCCTAAGGAACAAAACAGTGTGTGTGTGTACATGCGGGCATGTACATAAGGAGAGATTTTCAGTAACTTTTCAGTTTTCAAACCATTGTGTTGTCTATTCAAATATACATCAAAATATACATCAAAAATATTTTTTAAATAAGGAATGAAGGAGTCATAAGATTGTGTACAGTCACCTGAATTCTAGTCCTGAATTTACCAATAACCATTTGCCTCCTCTTCCGATCAGTCTCCCTCTTCCCCGCTTTATCAAACTCCATGCATTTTTCACCAAAGTATGCAGGTTTAAAAAGGTTCATATGTGAGGGTTCTGAACAATTACATGTCCATATATAAAAGGCTGGGTTCACGTGCCTGTTGAAACAAGTTCTGGACAAACAAGCAGCAACGTTGTAAGGCGCATAGCATAGCGCGCTGAGCAGGAGTAATCTCTCTTCCCGCCAGTAGATGGGGTGAGTAGCTATGATCAGGTACATTTGCCAAGTCAGAAACCCGCTCTAAGGGACTCAGGGCCTTAGAGTCAAAGAAATGTAAAGCTAGAAAGAGCCAGGGAGTTCAGCCCAGCTCCCATATTTTACAGATGTGGAAAATGATGTCCAGCTAGTCAGAGTGTGAAGACTGACATGGTGAACACTGGAACCCACATCTCATTATTCCCAACCAGTCCTCTTCACTAAATACTTTAATAAGCCAAAAACCTAAAACTCAGAATTTGGGGAAACTAAGTTCAATCAGGCTAGGCTTAGTTATCACTTTACACTCTTCTAAAGTGACATGACTATGGGAAGGATGGGTCTCTAAATATTCTATTAAAAGACGACTGTTAATTCACAGATAGAACTATTATGTAGTTCTTTCAAGTACCTAACTTTGAAATAGTCAACAAATTTCCTCATTTTAGTGTCTAAAATATTGCACAACACATGACTCGTTCAGAAATAAAACCTCTTCCCCTATTTTCATTTTCCATTTAACATAGCCAATTCCTAACTTGAAACAATATGGATTAACTTTTTGTTGTTGAGATGTTTGGAAACGACCTAAATGTCCAAAAATAATGGATCGTTTAGCAAATCTGAAGCAGCTCTTGTGATGATATTTTTAATAATTCTGAGTAGGCAACATAATGTAGTGGTTTGAGAGCCATGCTGCCTGGCCACGTCCTGGTCTACCACTTACTAGCCCTGTGACCTTGGGCAAGGTTCTTACCCTCTTCCAGCCTTGGTTTCCTTGTTATCAAATAGGGATAAAAGTAGTACCTACCTCACCGGGTTGCTGAGAGAAGTCAATGAATTAAAGTGTAAAGTGCTCAGAATGGTATCAGTATATAGTATCTGAGGGCAATGAGGCTCCTTAGTTCTCCCTGAAGTGTTGGCTCCTTTAGAAAAGGACGCTTGCTAGCCTGAGGTAATTTGTAATTGGGTCTCCTGAAATCAGAGTAAAATGGGAGAAAAGTCAAGCAAAATGTTTAGGGAGGCTAGCCTGAGACAGTGAGTGGTCTCTGAACTGTTCTGGAGTACGCAACTTCTACCCTTCCTTCACATCTTAACCACAAGGCACTCTACACACGTTTTTTCTCCAAGATGGAATGGTGGTGACTGGCAGAGAAGGATGTGAGGGGACAAAAGCAGCCAATTATAAGAACAAGTTTTTTAAAGTATGGTATTTGCTTTCTTGTTCAAGTCTGTTGGAAGGGAGGAAGTCAGAGAAATGAATGGCCCTCCCATTCTTCTGCAATTTGAGTTCAGTTCTCTTATTTCAGAGCAAATGCAGAACTATTGGGGGCAGACCTTGCATTCTCTCCTTCCTTCTTTACTCAAATGCGCCCTTACTCCTACTAAGTGTCCAGGGTGAGATCTGTCTTAAAGCACGGATTCCTGATTACACCTTGCAGCCAAGGCTAGACCTGTGGAAAGTACCTAGGGCTGGGGGTGAAGGGAGCCATCCCTGACCTTCATGGAAACCTGGACGACAGCTACTTCTCAGTCCTGTAGTAAAATTCTATCTTTTCTGTTTCTACAAGTCTTTGGATCACCATGGGAATCTTTATTGCATATAAACCCTCCCTTCTCTTGATCTTTGGACAACGAGCTAGGGTTGATCAGAGAGGCTACATGAACACAGACTTAGGAGGGCAAGGTTCAAGCATATCCCGTGACTTGCACAGTAAGGGCTCAAAATGTGCTTGTTGAATAAACAATACATGTATAAGGAGGTATACATGATCCCAGGGTCCTGGGATCGAGCCCCGCATCGGGCTCCCTGCTCCGCGGGAAGCCTGCTTCTCCCTCTCCCACTCCCCCTGCTTGTGTTCCCTGCTCTCGCTCTCTGTCAAATAAATAAATAAAATCTTTAAAAAAAAATAAATGAACATGTATAAGGAGGTATGCTTGTGTTCTGGAACAGTAACCATTTATTGTAGTTAATATAGATAGCCATAATCACATCAGGATCTTATAAAATCATCAGTCTTAGTCAGATTAAGCAAAAAGGATACAATTTTATGGGCCTGAGATGACCAGTGGATACAGGAGAGGCACAAGATCCAATATTACCACTTTCTAGCTGTGTGATTCTTAACATGTAATCGAACTTCTACAAGTTTATTTCCTTATCTGTAAAAGGGGATTAAAAGTTACAGCTACCTCATGAGCTATTTCAAGAATAACTTTAAAAACAGTGAAGCACCATGCAAATGTTCTTGATATTCTTAGTTATGTAACATATGTGCACACTCTCTACAAGTATACATATCTCTGTTAACTACATAGAAGTTGTTAAAGAAAAGCTTTTAGAGATAATGTGAGCTATCACTTGACATCTGTCAGATTGGCTAGTATCAAAAGAACAAGAAATAACAAGTGTTGGTGAGGATGTGGAGCCCTCCGCCCTGTTGATAGGAATGTAAATTGGTACAGCCACTAGGGAAAACAGTATGGATGTTCCTCAGAAAATTAGAACTAGAGCTATCACATGACCCAGCAATTCCACTTCTGGATACTTATCAGAAGAAAAGGACAAACCAATCTGAGGAGATCTATGCCCCCCCTATGTTCTCTGCAGCACTCTTTACAATAGCCAAGACATGGAAGCAACCTAAGCGTCCATCCACAGATGAATAGATAAAATTAGATGTCATATATGTATGTATATATAGATATAAAACATGGAATATTACTCAGCCATAAAAAAGAATGAAATCCTACCATTGTCGCAACATGGATGGAACCTAGAGGGTATAATGCGAAGCGAAGTCAGAGAAAGACAAATACCATATGATTTCAGTTATGTGTGGAATCTAAAAACCAAAACAATGAACAAACAACATAAAACAAACAGATTCATAGATACAGGAAACAGTTGGTTTCCAGAGGGGAGAGGGGTTGCGGGGCCGGTGAAAAGGGCGAAGAGGATTCAGAGGTACAAACTTCTAGATAAAAAATAAGTCATGGAGGTATAAGGTACAGCATTGGGGATATAGCCAATAATATGCTGTAATTTTGTATGGTGATAAATGATAGCTAGACTTATTATGGGGATCATTTCATAATGTACAAAGATATAGAATCACTATGATGCACCCCTGAAGCTGATAGGATATTATATGCCAATTATACTTCATTGATAAATAGATAATAAAGGTGCTCAGAAGCACTGAACACAAGGTTAAATCAGAAAGGAATATCAGCAGCCCAAGAAAAATCAACCTGGGTACGTTCACTGTGCTGAGAACTGGAAAAATCAATCTCTGATCCGACAGTCCTAACCTAGGGCCGCTGGGTTCGCAGGGGAGCAGAGTCGCACCTACCGCGCACACTCTTTTCCCTTTACCTGGCGCCCCGCCCCTGCTTTCCCGGCTCCCCTCCTCTCTCCGCTCCACTCCGGGGTGCCCAGCCCGCTCCCTCTCCTTCGTCAGTCTTCAGGACCTCTCTGCAGAGTCCACTCCGACCCTTCGGCCTACGGCTCGCAGGCCTAGCATTACCACTCTCCTAGAAACCCTTTCACCCCGACCTTTAGAAAACGAAAGACCGAAAAAGCCCTGGAGGAAGTGGGGCTCCGGGGGCTGCGGGTCGCCCTGGAGCGGGCATGCGCGGAGGCCGCGGCGGCCTGCGGGCCGGGGAGAAGCGGGGACGGCACGGCCAGGGGGAGCAGCCGCCTCGCCTGGACCCAGCTCGGGAAACTGACGCCGGATCGCCAGCGCCCGCCCCGGCCTCCCGGCCCCACTTGCCAGAGGCTCGCGGGCCGGGCGGCGGGGCGCGGCAGGAGGGCCGAGCGGCGGCCACGGGAGGGGCGGAGCGGGGTGCCGGCGACGGGTTGGCGGGCTGCCGGGGGCGTTGCGTACCTGGTAGCGGCCGGTGAGCAGCTGGCTCCGCGAAGGCGTGCACAGCGGCTGCGTGTAGTAGTTGTCCAGGAGCACCCCGCCGGCCACCAGCGCGTCCAGGTGCGGCGTGCGGATGTTCGAGCCGTGGAAGCCCACGTCGTTCCAGCCCAGGTCGTCCGCCAGCACGAAAACGAGGTGCGGCGGCCGGCCGGCCCCTGCGCCCGCGCCCGGCGGGGCCGCCAGCAGTAGCAGGCGCAGCAGCAAGGGGAGGACGCCGGGGAGGAGCGGCCGCCGCAGGCTGGGGCCTCGGGACAGGCTCGCTGCGCCGCGCCGGCCCATCCTTCGCTGCCCACGGTGCCCGCGCCTGTGGCGCCGGCAGCCCCCGGCACCGCTTGTAGAATCAGGAACTGGGCGGCCGGGCCTGCCCCGCCCCCGCACGGTATTTCACCCCAGCGGGCGGTGGGCGGTGGAGGCCTGGCGCCGGAGCCCCCGCCGCCTCTGACCCGGGCCCGGGCCGGTGTGACGGGGGAGGAGCCAGCGGAGAAGCACCAGATTCTCCCGCTGGCCCAGCTCCGGGGAAACTCCGTTGATGCTTGATGGGAGCCAAGATTTCTTCTCTTTCCATAGATGAATTTTGCGACGTAGCATCCTCAAAGAGGAGCAGATTTTATCTTTTTAGTAACTCTTCGCAGTTTGCAAAGCATTTTCTTTAAATTTCGCAACAAACTCGGCAGTTAGGAATTATAATGTACCCTCCTTTTTTTCAATAAAGAAGCCTGTAGTTGGTTGAGCCTAACCCAAACTCACATCCTGAGCCGTGATGTTTTAAAGGTCGTGGGGGAGTCATTTCTAGCAAAAGAACTCAGACTTGTGCAAGTGGGCGGTCGATGGAGAGGCAAAACTCTAGGTGATGTTTCACATTCATTTATGAATAGCATACGCCCGTGAAGCCACTTCCTCCTCACTACCCAAAAGGGGGCCAAATACCCACTCCGACTGCACGGTGTCCTTTTGAAGGTGCAGTTTTACTTAGGCAGCCCTGAGGAGTTGGGGGGCTGTTGTGTGACCATTAAGTAGCTCACTAGCTTGTCCAGGTATGGGCCTCTTCACGGCTGGCTCTGCGACACTCAAGTAGTGAGCCAAAGAAGTATTGTATCTAATCTGCTTGCAATCATCTGAGGATGGAAGGAAAAAATTCCCTTAACCATATGCTCACTGAATTGGGAAGTTAGCCTTATGACCACTGCCATCCAAAACTCTCTGCCTCTTCTGGTTTGGAGATAGACGGTAACTATTTACGGTTATGGGGGCCAGACGGTTATGCACTGTAGGATACATCCTTTCAGGCTATCTGAATCTGATGCCATGGGAATTATTTCACAGCTTTATAAGTTGTGGATAACTGATAGCAATGGAAACTAATGCTTTTTAAAAAAAACATTTTAAAATTTAAATTCAATTAATTAACATATGATGTATTATTGGTTTCAGAGGTACGGGCCTGTGATTCATCAGTCTTATATAATATAATACTCATTACATCACGTGCCCTCCTTAATGTCCATCCTCCAGTTACCCCATCTCCCTACCCCCTTCCCCTCCAGCAACCCTCAGTTTGTTCCTTATGATTAAGAGTCTCTTATGATTTGTCTCCCTCTATGGTTTCCTCTTGTTTTATTTTTTCCTCTCTTCCCCTATGATCCTCTGTTTTGTTTCTTAAATTCCATGTATCAGTGAGATCATATGATAATTGTCTTTCTCTGACTTACTCCGCTTAGCATAATGCCCTCTAGTTCCATCCACATGGTTGCAAATGGCAAGATTTCATTTTTGATGGCTGTGTAATATTCCATTGTGTATATATACCACCTCTTCTTTCTCCATTCATCTGTCGGTGGACATCTGAGTTCTTTCCATAGTTTGGCTATTGTGGACGTTGCTGCTATAAACATTGGGGTGCAGGTGCCCCTTTGGATCACTACATTTGTATCTTTGGGGTAAATACCCAGTAGGGCAATTGCTGGGTCGTAGGGTAGCTCTATTTTCAACTTTTTGAGGAACTTCTATACTGTTTTCCAGAGTGGCTGTACCAGCTTGCATCCCCACCAGCAGTGTAAGAGGATTCTCCTTTCTCCGCATCCCCGCCAACATCTGTCGTTTCCTGACTTGTTAATTTGAGCCATTCTGACTGGTGTGAGGTGGTATCTCACTGTGGTTTTGATTTGTATTTCCCTGATGCCGAGTGATGTTGAACACTTTTTCATGTTTCTGTTGGCCATTTGGATGTCTTCTTTGGAGAAATGTCTGTTCATGTCTTCTGCCCATTTATTGACTGGATTATTTATTCTTTGGGTGTTGAGTTTGATAAGTTCCTTATAGATTATGGATACTAGCCCTTTATCTGATATGTCATTTGCAAATATCTTCTCCCATTCTGTCAGTTGTCTTTTGGTTTTGTCGGCTATAGAAACCAATTCTAGTTTATACATATGCCAGTGACTTCTATACAGTGTAGTGACAATCCCCACCACCCCCGTGGAAAACAGGTTTTGCCGCCACTTGCACATTTGTTTTAATATTCATGATCTGATCCTTGGGTTGTCCTTTGAACTAGTTTTAACACCTTACCAGTTTCCTCACTAGTGAATTAAATAAAATCTTTAACATGTATTCATTTTTATATTTGTACAAGGGTCATGATTTTATCTCTTTTTGAAAATTATCCTTTAGGGTGCCTTGGTGGCTCAGTTGGCTGGGCGACTGCCTTCGGCTCAGGTCATGATCCTGGAGTCCCGGGATGGAGTCCCATATCGGGCTCCCTGCTCGGCGGGGAGTCTGCTTCTCCCTCTGACCCTCCCCCCTCTCATGCTCTCTCTCTCTCATTCTCTCGAATAAATAAATAAAATCTTTAAAAAAAAAAAAGAAAGAAAATTATCCTTTAACACATGGAGTGTTTTCCTTTTACATACAATTCTTTTTCTTTGCATGAAGCGGATTAGTTTATGACACATCCAAATTTAATCTCTAGTGGAATCAGTGGGATTTAGCAGGAAAAAATTTAAATTTAGCATTAAATTCAAAAGGATAATTTTGAAGAGCTGTTTGATTCTTATTAAGGCTTGAAAATTTCATTTAAAGACCCTGTAAGAGACAATAAAGGCTTGAGAACTCTCCGCTATGGCTCTTGCATGTCCTTCCTCTCCATAACTGTTTCTCCCTACCCTGATAGAAATCAACTTGCCCAAACATGGTTGCTAATCTGCCAAAATAGTTCCTCCTTTGACCACCTGCTTCAGAAACTAGCTACACTTACACTGAAACTTCTCATATCCTGCATTTTTTGAACAAAAACCTATGCTAATTGTGCTCTAAATGTGCACATGAGTTAGTTAAAAAGTTAATTTTATTTTTATGTATTGAACACATGATATGCAGTACAGACTAGTTATTATGAAGTCTCTCAATTGGACTTTGATATTTCCTGATGATTAGGCTCAGGTGATGGGTTGTGCAGAAGTATCATAAAAGTGATACATCTTCTTGAGGCTTCATATTAGGAAGGACGTGATGTTGATTTATTATTTGATCACTTTGTTAAGGCAGTCATTTCTCCACTGTGAAGCTACTATTTTCCCCTTGGAACTAATCATTATTTTATGGGGAGATAATTTGAGAATACGTTTATATTCTATTCTTTCTAAAACTTTGGCTTGTTAGTTTTAGCACTCACTGCTGCTTCTTGCTTTGATCTATTATTATTAGGATGGTTGCTGAATGGTGATTTTCTAATTCCATCATTCCTTCTATATTAATTAGTTGTCAAGTAGGGAAAAAGCTTGCCTTCTCTCCCATTAATTTATTTAAATCACTCTGAACTCATGGATTCTTGTTTTAATCAATGTGCTTTACTATAATTATTTTGATCCTCAAATTTCCTTTGATTTGACCAGTGGGAGCCCCTTCAGTCTGGCTCTTGTATCCTTTTGGCATATCCTTTTTAACCTTTGAACACTCCCTTACTTTTTGGTACAACAAGGTATTCTAGGTCCATCTTGTACTTTTCCTTCCCCCACCCTGGAATTAACCATTACTACAGGGACCCCCCCCCCCGATTGCTTTCAGTGGAGGATGGCATCTAGAAACCTGTACCTGTGCTACAGTTGTGCTCATTGCTACTGGGCTGTCATTATTCCCAGGATCTCTCATCAGACAAAGATAGGAATGAGATGTGTATATTCACTCAGGCATACATAAGTATGTATATGTACTATATCGATACATATGAATAGGTATAAAGCCATGAGTTCCTAGTGAGTACCTCCAATTCTACTTTCCCCCTTTCCATACTATATGGGTAGTACCAATTTTCATTGTTACCAGCCATTAAAGTTCATACTTTTTAATTTTTGCCAATCTGATATGAGAAATGATATCACAGGATAGTTTTTGGTTTTGCATTTCTCTTAGGAGTAAGGTTAAAAATCTTTTGAGATGTGGAAGGGCTGTTTTTACATCATTTTTGTGAATTGTGTCATTTTCAATTGGTTTTGCTCTTTTCCCTCTCAATTTTAAGACTAGAGATGTTACCTCTTTAACTGTGATATGTACCAGAAATATTTTCTACCAGCTTCTCAACTGTCAAATATTTTGTTGTGGTATTTTTTGATATGCCAAAGTGATTTTTTTTAATGTGGTCAAATATAGCAATTTTTTTATTGCCTCTGGATTTTGAGTCATGATTATACTTTCCTTATACCAAAGTTAAAATAAAATTCACCCATGTTTTCTTCTAGCATGGTTTCAGTTTTCACATTTAGATCCCTGACCCGTTGGCATTTATTTTTGTGGATGATGTGAGATTTGAATCTAATTTTACCTTTTTCCAAATGGTTACCCAGTTCCTAGCACCATTTGTAAAGAAAATAGTCTATCTCTGCCCCACTGCTATGAGATGTCACATTTACCATATGCTTAATTTTCTCATATATTTGAGTCTATTTCTGAGCTTTCTGTTCTATTCCACTGGCATGTCTGTTGACTCATACACCAGCACCACACTGTTTCAGTTACAGAGGTTTTATAGTATGTTTCAATGTATGATAGGAATAGTGACTCCTCATAACTTATTTTTTGATGCTTTCCTGGTTATTCCTGCATGTTTATTTTGTCATATGAACTTTAACATCAACATGTCCAGTTCCATGAAAAAATAGGTTGGTGGGGCGCCTGGGTGGCTGAGTCGGTTAAGCGTCTGCCTCTGGCTCAGGTCATGATCCCGGAATCCTGGGACTGAGCCCCATGTTGGGCTTCCTGCTCAGCAGGGAATTTGCTTCTCTTTC